ATATATGTGTCAGTTCTGTTATTTCTGGAAAGCATTATTTCACTGGTGTCTTTCATCCTCACTGGCTCTTATAATCTTTCTGCCTCCCCTTATGTAGGGTTCTCTGAGCCCAGAGGAAGGAAGTTTATTGGAGACAGCTCATTTAGGATTGAATGTTCCAAGGCCTCTCACTCTCTGTCCTTTGTTCATTTGTGTGTCTCTGTATTTGTTCCCATATAAGAAGGTGGAAGCTTCTCTGATGATGTTTGAGCAAGACACTATTTTATGGGTATAGAAGAATGTTATTAGGAGTCATTACGTTGGTGCAATCATTTCACAGAGCCTTAGTATTTGGTTTTCTTCAAGGTCCAAGGCCTATCTAGCTCCAGGTACTTGGCCACCTGGATAGTGTCAATCATGAGTTCCATTCTGTGCAGTGGGTCTTGAATCCAACCAGATAGTGGTTGGTTGCTCCACATTATTGGGCCACGATTGCACCAGTACATCATCCAGGCAGGTGACCAATGTAGACCAAAGGGTTTATGTCTCTTTACCTTTTCTTCTTTTGGAATGCAGAGTACTTTCTAGTACCATGAGCAGTAGTCCGTAGGGATGAAGGCTCTAGTTAGGCGCCAGTCTGACATCTCTGCATTCAAAGGTTGTGTAGGTGTCTTCTTTAGCAATAGAGCCTTACAATCAGTTTGTGAAGAGCAACCAATAGCAAAGCCTTTATGCTTCTTGAATGTTATTATTTATTAATTTCTTATGAAGTTGGATGTAGTGGTCTCTCTTTTTTAAAAGATTTGTTTCTATACACACTGGTTAATGTTATTACAATCATCATTATTCAAGTTAATTAATACAAAACTCATATTTTTCCTAGAAGATTTTGTGCAAATAATCATGAATAATAGGGAAAGAAATCCTATTAAAATAAATCTTTTAATCATTTATTAGCTTCTGAGGAGTCTTTCTTTCAATCGTGACAGTAAAAATTCTTAAGAGAACCCTAGCTTGATGAACCAGCTCTGGAATACATGAATGTTTCTAGATTTTTCAAAAGATACAAAGTTTTTTATTTTATATACGTATTTTAGGGTCTCCAATGCAATCCAGGCTTTACTTCCACAGTTTCACAAATAGTCTCTCAGGGCCTTCAATTGCTTGACATACTTGGACACATTGGCTTTCTGGCCAAGCTTGGCAAGGAACGTGGGCTCCTGGGATCACATTTACAGTAGTTTTGGTTTTCTTCCTTTCTAGGGTCAGTAAATTCTCAAGCATTTTCCTTACACAAGTTGGAAGCTTAGATGGATGGAATCTTTATTCCAGTGCAGATCAGGCCTCCCCTTAATCTCTTTATCTCTCTCATCATAAGCCTTGCCTGCAATATTGTTTCCTGGTGCTCCTTTTCTCTTTAAACTGTACATTTTTATACTTATTTCTCCATTATCTGACCTTTTTCACTGTTGCCCCGCTTATGAGTGGCCAGTAGTAACCAGCTATTGGGTGTAGTGTTGGAGTCCCTACACATAATTAGACAGGATAGGGACATAGGATTTCTGCCAAGAAATTTGCAGGCAATGGGTGATGTCAACCCAACAGAAAATCTACATGGGATCCAGATGGTGATGCAGTAGTGATTGAGTTTTTAAAATCTTTAGGTGTTACATCATGCCACCACCCACTCTCAGTTTCACCAAGATATTAATCACAAGATTAAATGTTTGTTCTTTTGGGCTCAGTCTTGCTTTCTATTCCCATTCTTCCATTTTATTTATGTATGTATTTATTTGTATACAGTGTGTATGTGTTTAAAGGGTTGTGAAATCTTCCATGTTTGACTGAGGCCTTTAACTTTATGCTACTGTATGTCAGATATAGGCAATATCTCATAGTTAAAAATTTTTAAAATTCATAACTTTGGTAAAATGGACAAATTTCTTATGATACATCCAAGAAAATTCCATGACAGAAATAATTATTTACATACCACTACATTTGATAAAGAATTTGAGTGTGTAGGAAGACCTCATAAAAATAAAAAACTTTAGGTTCAGATAGTATCACAGTTTAATGATACCAAATTTTAAATAAAAATTAAAGAAGATTTGAACACCTCGTCCATAAAATGGAGTATTGAGAGTATTAAAACCTGAAAAATGATCAGCCCGTGGCTCCCCGGGAAAAACTAGGCTTCTCAAGCCTTGATCCTATGCTTGTCTTGAGTTGTTATCCACAGTGGCTGTGATTTCATGCATGCGTTTGTGCAAAGCTAACATGCAATATTAATCTTAAGATATTTAAGTGATTTAAAGTTATGCTGCTGTGTGCTAGCAGAGAAAGGATGTGCAAGTGAAATGTAGATCTAATCCTAATCTTAACTAACAATGAAATTAATAAATTATGTGCAAGTCTCCTTGGATATTCCATGCAAATATTACAAAAGAATAAAGTTTTTATATATAACTTGACCAGGAATGATATCCACTGCTCAGTGTTAACTGAAAAAGAAGATAAAATCATTGAACGTTTTGTTTAATAAGATTTCATAATATCTGTTTTGTGAAATGTAATAAAGTACATAGAATAATATCTGAGTTTGTGATTGTTTTTATAACACTTAAAACAATTTGATATAATATAGTATATTTTATTTTGAATAATGAAAAGATTTGAATTAAATGCATGGCCGGTAGGGTAAGGATAGTTCTCTGAAACATTGTTGTGGTTTGGGACCTAATAGCATGAAGCACATATTAATTTTGAAATTAAAAAATAAAAAACAAGGACAAAGTACCACCCAAATTTTGAAGATTTTAATAATTAATTTTAGTTTACCTATTCTGCTCTGCACTGGCAGAACTTAGTCATTAGTAAACTATCACTAAGTGTGTCAAGGAGGAACCCATTGTAGGACAGGTTAGTCTTGAGTTTAATCCCACGTGAATAGAGAAAGAATCATCCCCCGAGCATAGACCGAGTCCATGCTCTTATTAGGAAAATTGCTTGACCAAAGGGAAGACAGGTCGAGTGTTATCAGTTGATTGGTTCCTCTATAGTGTTTAGTTTTCAAGAAAGAGGCGTCCTTACATCACTACACACACGTCTTGAGCGTCTGTGTGTATCCTTCTGTTCTTTAGCTGAGTATATCAGGGATTTATACTCTGGCCAGAGAAGGTAAGGCTGTATTTATGCTTGTGCAGATTTCAATCTTTATCTTATCTAGAGATCTTCAACACTCTCTAGCTCCTACTGTCTTAAAACAGTATCAGTTTCTCCGTGTTCTTAGAGATTTGCAGGGATGACAATAGGATGTCTGGTAGCACACTCAGATTCCATGAAACAATAAAAGAGACTAAAGATGCATTTATTTTCATGTGTAAGTGAGGCTGTTAGCAATCTCACAAGCAATTCAGCATGAAGTTTTTAATGTGACAGGATTCAGTGTAATGAAAAGAGTCAAGAACGAGCTGAATGACAAAAACTTCTGGAGAATATTATTAATATGTTTATTTTATTCTATAAATGGCAGAAATTAAGTCATGGATATAGACTGTAGGGTTTTATATCTACCTAGTATTATCACATACACCAAACTGTGTTTTACATTTGTGAAGAAATTAATTTTTATTTATCATTGGAAGATTTACTATAGTGGGAAAATGCAAGGATCCCCGAATTATCTGTTAAATACAATTATTACTATTAAATTTTACATTTTACTATATTTTAGCTACCATGTAAACCACAAAATAGTAACCTCTTAGTTTTGGTGAAAATGATTAAAAACATATGTCTATTCCTAAAGAGAAAAACCAGAGACTCAGAGGACTAAGACAGAAAAAGGTGGACAGTGCCCATATTCAGCTTTACTGCTTATCCCTCGCTGACTCCCTGTCTAGAAAGTAGCCCATCACACTGTGATCACCACACACGCTGTGCTGTCTGTTAGCTCTCAGGAGAGACTAGGAGATTACAGTGTAGAGGATGTGATTTAATGAAGTGAATCCAATAGAAAGTTTTATTTATTCTGTTGATTCTTTGAGAAGGAAGGCACTATTATGCTTTGAGATAAAAGATCTTCTTCATGAGGTTGTGTTTGTATTCAAGAAAGTTTAAAGATAAGATCACAAAGTGAACATAGTAAAAAGAAGATGTTGAAATGCTATAAGTGGCTTAGAATTCACAGAAAGTAGTTATTGACCCCCCCCTGGCTCTGTTTAAATTATTTTCTCTGGCTTCTCTTTTAATTCCCACAAATTAAGAACTTGGCTATTTTTATAACTTAAGAACATCTTGCCTTATTTATCTCTTGGCAAATACGTTTATTTCTTGGCCATTTTAAACAACACACATATTAAGGTTGAAAATAACTATGACATTCTGGAGGTGGTGGCACACTCCTTTAATCCCAGCATTTGGGAGGCAGAGGCAGGAGGATCTCTGTGAGTTTGAGGCCAGCCTGGTCTACAATAGCTAGTTCCAGGATAGACTCCAAAGGTGCAGAGATATCCTGTCTTGAACAACCAAGTAATAAAGAAAAAATAAGGAAAAGAGAAACAACTTTTAGGTTTAGTAAATATATTTGGGTGCTCTTTGTACCTCTAAAGTACAGAAGTTTGGAAAAATTATTAGAATTGAAGTTAAATGTTATATATGTGGTCTTGAAAGCATACACTATGTGAAACCATAAAATAATTTTGCATATTAGAAATGATGATACTATTAAAATATGGTTACACAAAGGTATCGTACTCATATAGAAATTATGACGTATATAGAATTTCTGTGTACAATTTCTGAAGAAGATTTAAAGTCCCACCTACTAAAATATTTTCTTTCAACAAGATGTTTTTTTGTTTAAGAGGAATTAGCAGAGATTAGAAAATCTTAATGAAACTGTTCCATGGCCTCATTTCTTTGGATATAGTAATATCAGTATTTAAACTGCTGTTTCTTTTACACTGAACTTAAAATCTTTTTTTTAAATAAATAGATTCTATTTACTAGGAATCAGCATGAGAAACCACTCTGTGATTACCGAGTTTGTGCTGTTGGGCATATCAGACGACCAAGAGCTTCAGGTTATAATTTTTTTCTTTTTGTTCATTGCTTACATATTAAGTGTGTGTGGAAACCTAACCATCATCACCCTCACTTTGCTTGACTCTCGCTTAAAGACTCCTATGTATTTCTTCCTCCGGAATTTCTCCTTCTTAGAAATTATGTTCACCAGTGTTTCTGTCCCTAGATTTCTGTGGTCAATAATTACGAAAGTTAAGACCATTTCCTACAACAACTGTTTGGCTCAGTTATTTTTCTTCATCTCCATGGGAGTGTCTGAGTTCTTTCTTCTAACCGCTATGTCCTATGATCGCTATGTCGCCATCTGCAAGCCGCTGCATTACACCGTCATCATGAGTCAGAAAGTCTGTGCCCTTCTTGTCCTCACCTCGTGGCTGGCAGGATTTCTAATCATTTTCCCATTAGTCATACTTATCCTCAAGTTAGATTTCTGTGCCTCAAACATCATCGATCACTTCTCCTGTGACTACTTCCCCATTTTACAACTCTCCTGCTCAGATACAAGGCTTTCAGAGGCTCTTGGCCTTTATGTTGCCTCCTTCACTCTGCTCTTCACACTGGCTCTAGTGATCTTGTCATACATCTGCATCATCAGCACCAT